GTTTCATAGTTGTCATTGCTTTTAATAGCGGGTCTTGGTAATGTAGCTCAGGCCGGTCTTAAACTCAAGATCTTCTGCTTTGGTTTCCTAAATTCTGGTGTTACAGGCATGTACATGCCTAACTTTCCCGTGCTTTATGTAAATAAATGTAAAGAAAAATGTATTTTTTCTCTAGTATGTGACATATTCCATTGTATTTTTTTTCACTCAACACCATTTCCTAGAGCTCTTTTCATATCACTATGAAGAGAAGTTCCCTGTTCTTTTCACAGCTGTGCAATGTTCCATTGCATTGGACCAATCCCCTGTTCCTGGACACTTAAGTTGGCTCCCTTTTTTACCATTGCAAACAGTGCCTCAGTGACTAACTTGAAAGTATATGCAAGAGAGGGAGTCCCAGAAGAGAAGTTATTGAGTGAAAGGTTCATTTTGTAACTTTGGTAAATACTGCCAGATACTCCTCCACAGGGATGTATGCCCTTTAACACAGTTGACTTTGGAATCTGTGTCTGTTTTACATTCATCAGTCATCTGCAGGAGCCTCCAGTGACTGACTGAGATTGAGAAGTCACTCACTCTCTAGATCAGATGCCCTGAGGGGAAAGATAAATGTGAAAATGCACTTCCTTTTAAAGCATGCTTACAGTGCTAGAGGGATGGCTCAGCCTTTAAGAGCACTTGCTGCTCTTGCAGTGGACCCAGGTTCAAATCCCAGCACCCACGTAGCAGCTAACAACTGTTCCTTACTCCAGTTCCAGGGGATCTGATGTCCTCTTCTGACCTCTCTGGGCATTGCATACATGGATGCACTTACATACATGCAGGCAACACACTCATACACATAAATTAAAGTTTTAAAAGCATGCATATAATAAAAATTCCAAGAAAGGGGCTGGAGAGATGGCTCAGTGGTTGAGAGCACTGGCTGTTCTTGCAGAAGAGCTGGGTTTGGATCCCAGCACTCACATGGCAGCTAACGATCATCTATAACTCTAGTTCCAGGGGATCCAACACCCTCTTCTGACCTCCTTAGGCATTGCACAACACAGGTGCACTTACATGCATTAAGCAATACACCCATACACATAAAATAAAAATAATAAATAAAATATTTATTTCTTTTTTTTAAATTTTTGGTCTTTTTGAGACAGGGTCTCCCTGTAGCCCCAGCTGTCCTGGAACTCACTATGTAGACCAGGCTGGCCTTGAACTTACAGAGATCTGCCTGCCTCTGCCTCCCAAGTGCTGGGATTAAAGGCGTGTGCCACCACGCCCAGCATTTTTTTTTAATTTTTAAAAATTTTATGTATATGCGTGTATTTCCTGCATGTAAGTAAATGTACCCATGTCCAGCAATGCCCGTGGAGGTCAGAAGAGGCTGTCGGATCCCCTGGGACTGGAGTTACCGACAATTGTTAGCTGCCATGTGGGTGCTGGGATTCAAACCCGGATCTTCTGCAGGAATAACCAGTGTTCTTAACTGCTGAGCCATCTCTCCAGCCCCATAAAATATTTAAATTCCAGGAGAACTGAGGAGCTAAAGGCATGCTGGCATAGCCTTTAGCCAAGGACAGGGGCACTGCCCTCTGGGCACAGGGCTTTCCCCTGACTATCCCCTGCAGAAGGAAAGCAGCACCATCTGACAGATGCAGCCTTGGGCCACTCTGGCTCCAGAAGCCTGGGGCTCAGTGCCCTATGGTTCTGTTGGGGAGACCCCCATAGTATTCAGGAAGAAAGCTAGTTGCAGCCAAGGGGGCAGGACCCAGCCTAGTGAGCTCCAGGATGGAAAGGAAGGTTTCATCTGGATTAGGGCTTGACAAGGCTGGCTTGAGAAAGCAACCACTATTTTATTACCTTGGAAAATGAATTCATATGAATTCATGGTGAAGGGTGGGGGGGGCTCTCTTCTGTGCCAGCCAGCTGTCTGTGCTATGTATGAATCAGTCAGTAGTACTTTCCACTATGTGAGGAACTGCCCCAGCCACAGGGAAACATTCTGCATTAACAAGTCCAGAATGTACTAGGAGAAGTCAGTCACGCTCAGAGCAAACTGGAGAGCCCAACTCTGCTTAGAATCTCTTCTGCAGTTATAACTTTGTTAACATCATTTTCCCTTGTCCAAAGGTTCTGGCAGCATTCCTGTCCAAAGAAAGGCAAAATTCCCTTCATGTTTGAAAGCTTAGCATATGGTAACACTGTGTAGTTGGAAAATAATTGCTGGCTTTATTATCATAACATTTTTAATCTGGTTCTTCCACTTATTAGCAAGTGGTCTTGGCAAGCCTTCCTAAACCTTAGCTTCCTTTGCTGGCAGATGAGAACAACAGTTCCCTTGACCTGCCTGCAGAGTAGTTCTGAGGACTCCCTCTCTGGGAGAAATGCTGCAAAAAGTGCTTTAGAAAGAGTAGATGGCTTCACCTGATTATAATGCCAGTATGTGCCTTTAACCACTTCAGTGTGTGTCCACTGTAGAAATCCTTGGTTAACTCTCAGACATGTATGGTTCTTATAAAATGTCACTGCCCCCTTGTCCTCAGTTTCAAGTTTTGGACTATCAGCCTGGTTTTCACAAGTGCACATACATTCTGGTCCCCAGAAGCCACCTAGCCCTATAAATAACAAGGCTTTTCTTCAGTCCAATGACCTCAGAGTCATCCTTGACTCTTCATATAAATTGATCAAAAGAACAAAATGTTTGTTGAAAATAACCCATGAGGTGAAATTTATTATGACAGAGTGCTTCCCATGGGCACCATTAGAAGAGCTGGCCACCACATAGAGCATGATGGGGGTCTTGAAGGGGGAGAACCCTCAAGGTTTTCAGCAGGGATGGGCAAGCTCCATACCATGTGATCTAGCTGGGCCTGGTCTACATGCCAGGAGTTGGGAAGGCACTGATAAAAGTCAAGTTATGATTCAAGGTTGTCCTTGCTCTAGGGATCAGGGGGCTAGACTTGCTCAGTAAGTGGAAAGGAAAGAACTACCAGGGAGACAGACTTCAGGGAAGAGTGTGGCCGGATTTCTGGGTTCAGCGTGGAAGGTAGCTAGAAGGTCTGTGATCTAACATAAATAAGTCCATCAGAAAATTTTATAGGCTCTACCTTCAAAACGGTCACAGTCTGACCACATGTCACCAATGTGTTCTGGGCCACCAGGATCCTTGCTGTAGGCTGTTTACAGGTAGCTCTCTGTACTCTATTCCCACCCTCATGCCATTCTGTACAAAGCAGTCCTTTCAAAATGGCGCCAGATTGTGATTCTCCATTGCTCCAAACCCTCATCCAATGACTGCCCTCCTCACTCGCTCAGACATGTCCCGCCAGTATGCGCCATGCTCTACCTCTCTCTCCTCCCCTGCTGGGCTTCTTGCTTTGCTGTTTCTGCAGCATGCTGAGCATGCTTTTGCCTCTGCAGTGTGCAGACACTCTTCTTTCTTGCCTGTGAGCTCTTTCTCAGACACAACACTCACCTCCTCTCTGTCTTCAGGGCTCTGCTCATGTCACCTTAGCTGACACACTCTGTAAGATGACAAGCCCAACCTAGCAGTCACTAGGTCCTTGTCTTTTCTCCATAGCACTTTTCCCCACCTGCTAAGTCACGTTTGTCTGTTCTTTGTCTTTACACACCCCACCTTCACTTGCTCCTGAAACCACTCCAAATGTAAGTCCTGGTGAAAGCAGAAACTCCTTTTACGGGGTCTTCTGTCCTCAGCTCCTAGGCCCATAGTAAGAACACAAAATATTTATTGACTAACCAGGTGTGTTGGAGAGTGCCTCCTCATTCAGGAGACTGAGGCAGGAGATCACAAGTTCAAGGCCAGCCTGGGCTACAGTAGGGATGTCTTGTCTGAAAACAACGAAATGTTTTGTTGACTTTGAATAAATGGATAGATTAAGGGTTATACATATGTAGGTGTGTAAAAAGGTTGAAACTAGACTTCATTTATAATATTCATAGGCCTTCTGTATCTCCTTTGTAAATTGTCTTTTCTCCTTTTGCTCATATTTTTCTGTGGAGATGATTATTTTGTTTTATATGTATGTGCTCTGGTATGTATTAAGAATTGTACCCAGGTGTGTTGGTACATGCCTTTAATCCCAGTAATTGGGAGGCAGAGGCAGGTGGATCTCTGTGAGATTGAGGCCAGCCTGGTCTACATAGTGAGTTCCAGGCCAGCTGGGGCTTCAGAGAGACCCTGTCTCAAAAAGGCAAGGAAAAAAAAAGAAAATAATTTTAGGGGGCTGGAGAGATGGCTCAGTGGTTAAGAGGACTTATTGCTCTTCTGGAGGACCTGGGTTCTGTTCCCAGCACATCACATCACTTACAACTGCCTCTCCAGCTCCAGTGGATCCAATTCCCTCTGGTCTCTGTGGGTACCTGCATGCATGTGGAGCACATAAACTCACACATTTTATTTATTTCCACATAAATAAAAATAATAAGTACATCTTTACATTTTTTATTTATTTTCATTTTATGTGTATGAGTATTTCACCTGCATGTTAAGTGTATCCATGTATGCACTGCTTGCAGAGATCATAAGAGGGTGCCAGATCCCCTAGAACTGGAGTTATGGATCATTGTTGGCTGTCATGTGGGTTCTGGGAACCAAACCCAGGTTCTCTGCAAGAGTGCTTTTAACTGCTGAACCATCCCTCCAGCCCCACTGGCTGCTCTTCCAGAGGATGTGGGTTCAGTTTCCAGCACCAATGTGGCAGCTAACAACTGTCCAAAACCCCAGTTTTAGGGGATCTGACACCCTCTTCTGACCTCTTGTGGCCATTGCATGACACAGGTGCACTTACATACATTCAGGTGAAACACTCTTACACATAAAATAAAAATAAATATTTTAAAAGGATTTTTGCTCATGGTTACTTTCTATTCTGAAATGTATTGTGTGGGGAAAGGGTCCATTTTAATTTAAGATATCTACAGTGTCTTTTATGAATGAATAGGTCACTAACATATAAATAATTTTCTTCTTTGACCCCAATCAGAACTGGACTCTTGTGCTTTGGGGGACCATGGTTGTGAACATTCATGTGTAAACAGTGAAGATTCGTTCGTGTGTCAGTGCTTTGAAGGGTACATCCTCCGTGGGGATGGGAAGACCTGCAGGAGTAAGTTTGGCTAGAGCTGGCTCATGTAACCATCGTAGACCATGCCCAAGATCCACTATCTCCATCTTTGTGTGAGCCACTTACTCTCATGAGTCAGCACTACACAGAAAAGGGGTACTGGGTGAAAGCAAATTAGTGTAAATAACTATGCACTTGAGTTAATAGTAATATATCAAGTTGGGCCTGGTGGCACACCCCTGTAATCCTGGCTACTTGAACAACTAAGGTAGGAGGATGGCAAAGTCACAAGCTGTGTAGGCCAGCCTGGGAAACTTAGATGTATATCAAAATAAAAAATAAAAACAGGTCTGGGATGTAGCTTAGTGGTAGACCACTTGCCAAGCATACCCAAGGCCCGGGGTTCAAACTCTAGTCTGCCAATAATAGCAACAACGTGTTGATATGGGCTCACAAGTTACGTGTGTTCCATACTAAAGCATCAAAGGGGAGTGTTTAATCCTAAGCAAGTGGTTCTCACCTCTGTCAGTTCTCTTTCTCTCAGGTTTCTCAAAGCTCTTCCTGCAAAGCAACTTGACTTCCACTATATGAAGAAATTTGAGTAACTGGAATTATTACTCCCATTTTTCAGACAGGAAAGCTAAGTTTCCAGGAGATTCAGTGATTCTCCTCAGTCATATATTATGGCAGGGACAAAGCCAAGGTTAGAGTTCAGTGCTGCTAAATCTAAATTGAAGCTTAGTTTCCTAAGTAATCATCTCAATTTGCTGAGAGGCACATGTCTGTTGACAGCTGAGGATGGATTTCATTCTGAGATACTGAAGTTGGTGCTGGTGAGTGGTGATGGCCATGACAGTGAGGAAGTTTGAAGAGTTAGCAAAACTAGAGCCACTAAGCTTCATCCTCAGGTTTACCTCCTGCTCAAGTGGCACTAGAGTCCCGAGGCTGGGATGGATGGATCTTAAAAGAAGTCCATGTAGAGTTTATGTTGATACAGGTGTTTTAACTGCTGTGCTGTCCTCAGGAAAAGACTTCTGCCAGGCTGTGGACCATGGTTGTGAGCACTTTTGCGTGAACAATGGCGAATCATACATCTGCAAGTGCCGGGAGGGATTCAGGCTGGCCGAGGATAGGAAGCGCTGCAGAAGTAAGTAGCCTTGAGGTGAAGAATGTTTCCATTTGCGGAACTCGGGCAGGTACAGCGCTCCACTTAATCCTCACAGTCTTCCTTTATAAAATTCTTGATCATGTCAAAAATACAGGTTTTGACTTTGGGTGCTCTGAAAGTGTTTTGCTAGGGATCAAGTCAGCCAACCCTGGGTTCTTCAGGAATTTCTCAATGAAGGTCCTAAGTTGTCAGGCTCTTTTCTTCTTCCATTGCCTCTCAGCTCTTGGCCCTTCTCCTGGTGGTTGAATGGATGCTCAGGGCCTAGTCTAGTGCCTGGCTAGTCAATGGGCAGAACTAGAATCATTGCTGTAGTCTAGTACCAGGACTGAGAGATCATTTCAGTGCTTTTTCTTACAAACCTTATAGGTAAAGGCAAAGGGTATGAAAGGAGCTGAAGAGATGGTCTATGAAAAAGATCTGCCATTTGCTTTTATATGTCAGCTCACTCAGAATAGACTCTCAGAGTTTAGTTAGACTGTGTTGAGAGGTGCCTGGGGAGATGGCTCAGTTAGTAAGGTGCTTGCTAAGCAAGCATGAACACCTGATTCAGTCCTCAGCACCTATGTGACCTTAGCACTGGGGAAGTAATGAGAAGACCCCTGGGGCTTGCTGGCCAGCTAGTCTATTTGAATCGGTGAGCTCCAGATTCAGAGAGAGACCCTGTCTCAAAAAATAAAGTGGAGAGACTGGAAAGATGGCTCAGCAGTTAAGAGCACTGCTGCTCTTGCAGAGTACCCTTGTTTGATTCCCTGAACCCACATGGCAGCTAACAACCATCCATGACTCCAGTTCCAGGGAAACCAGACACCCTTCTGACCTCTGTGGGCATTACATAACACGGGTGCACTTAAATACATACAAGCAATACACTACTACAGAAATTTTTTTAAAAATTAATTAAATAAATAAATTTTAAAAATAAGGTAGAGCCAGGCATGGTGGCACACACCTTTAATCCCAGTACTTGAGAGGCAGAGACAGGTGCATCCCTGTGAGTTCAAGGCCAGCCTGGTCTACATAATGAGCTACAGGCCAGCTGTGGCTATAGGAAGACCCTTCTCAAAAAGACTCCCCCCAAAAGGAGCGGGTCTTTACTTCCTTAATTTCCTGAGGTGACTGTTCATGCCAGCTCATTTCTACTCTGCTGGGTTGTTCACCTCCCCACATTTTCTCCCAGGGAAGGATGTCTGCAAGTCGACCCACCATGGCTGTGAGCACATTTGTGTGAACAACGGTGATTCCTACATGTGCAGGTGCTCAGAGGGGTTTGTCCTAGCTGAGGATGGAAGGCACTGCAAGAGTAAGTGATCTGAACTGGCTCTCTGCTTCCATTTGGTTTTGGAGCAACTGCCTTTTGGAGTATTTTTAGACACAGATCCCTTACCCCTGTTTCTCCCATACACACAGATGCGTGCACCCAGAGAGAAGGTAGGGCTGAGCTGCAGCAACAAGTCAGAACACCTTTTAGTTGATAGTAAGCAACAAGGGCTGGCTGTGTTCTGTAAGCAAATGTATACAGGACAGAGCTGTTGGTAAATTATTCCAGTATTCCTGAAAGCTGCTGAGGAGCCACGTGCGATACCTGAGTCTTTTCTGGTTGATTCAGAACAGGCTGTAAATATAAATGAAGCACTGAACTGGCTTTTTCCTCTTTCACAGTTAAAGTATCAATAGATTGAGTAATGAGGACAAACACTTAGTGGAGAAAGAGAACTCACCCCCTCCCCGCCCCAACACACACACACACACACACACACACACACACAGAGGCATTTCATACTGACCAGGCATAGAAGTATTTTTGCATATGTATGCCTTTACTTGCTCTTATTATTGTGCTTTGCTTTGAAAGACTGGACAGCTGCTTGATATATAAAAGAGAATATTATAATAACATACTGTAAACTGTTTGGAATGAGATCATCCACTTGGGATTGGTATAATTTTCTTCTGCAACCTGACATAACAAAGTCTCCTAACATCCAATTTGCTTAAGTATCTGCATAAAGTTTTTCTCTCTTTTTCCTGTCAGCCATCTGAGTTGCCCAAAAAGCTTTCATATAAAGAATTCAGCAATCATTTTTAGACTTTAATAGGCCAGTATAGTACTTGTAAGAGTGCTATATAATGGGCACCACCTCATTCATTTATTCTGTCAGTAAGTATGCATTGAACACCTATGGTGTTCCAGGCATTAGGGGCACAGAAATGAATGACACACAGTACCTTCTGAAGAGCAACTCAGACTAGGGAGAAAGATAGTCAAATGATTATTCTGCCACATGGAGCACTACACAAAGCACACTGGACTTAAGCAACTTGGAGTCAGGCATTTTGTCTTAGTTACTGTTGTAGTCCTGCTATGTTCATTGCCTTGCACAAAGCAGGTGCTCCATAAATAAATTTTGGTTGAATAAATTAAGTGTTGGGGTATTCAGAGAGTGGCTAATGTAAGCTGGATTACTGTGAATGCTCCTTGAAAGAGGGGTGGCTGAGCAGAATGTAAACATCTCCTTCTCCATTGTCAATCAGAATGTAGCACTTGCATGTGGCACCATCCCACAATAAAATAACAGGAACTGTCTAGATGTAGTCTGATCCTTTATTGTATCAAACTCACAGTTCCTTCAAGATCTGGCTACCAGTGATCAAGGTGTGGTTTCTCCGGCAATGAATACACATACTGTGTGGTTTACTTGGGGGAATTTATTAGTTTTAATAACTGAGAACCCAAACATAAAAGTGCATGATTGTTGCTTGTGACATGCCCACTGCTCGTCTGCCCTATGGGTTATCTGAAGATCAAAGGTGGCTCTCCAAAGTTGGGCTATGCCTCCTACAGAAGCATGCTTTTCTCTGCTTTTGTACAGATGATCGTTAATGTTTAACCATGCCACCTTTCCTTTTGTTCCAATAGGATGCACTGAAGGCCCAGTTGACCTAGTTTTTGTGATCGATGGATCCAAGAGCCTTGGAGAAGAGAATTTTGAGATTGTGAAGCATTTTGTCACTGGAATTCTAGATTCCTTGGCAATTTCTCCCAAAGCTGCTCGAGTGGGGCTGCTACAGTATTCCACACAGGTCCGCACAGAGTTTACCCTGAGAGACTTCAGCTCAGCCAAAGACATGAAGAAAGCCGTGACCAACATGAAATACATGGGCAAGGGCTCTATGACTGGGCTGGCCCTGAAACACATGTTTGAGAGAAGTTTTACACAAGCAGAGGGGGCCAGGTCCCTTTCCTCAAGGGTACCCAGAGTAGCCATCGTGTTCACAGATGGTCGGGCTCAAGATGATGTCTCCGAGTGGGCCAGTAAAGCCAAGGCCAATGGTAATATGTGGTGGAGATGTGGTTTATACTACTTAAGGTTCAGGTCTCTTAAACTCAAAGCTAGCATTAGGATTAAGAGCATGTGAGTACAGAAAGACATCCTGACAACTGCTATTAAAACACCTTTGCTGGGCCAGGTGTGATGGCATGTGCCTTTAATCCCAGCATTCAGGAGGTGGAGGCAGGCAGATCTCTGTAAGATCAAGGCAAGCCTGGTCTCCATAGTGCAATTCCAGGTCAGCTGGGGCTACAGGGAAACTGTCTCAAAAACAAACAAAAACAAAAAAACACACCAAAACACTTTTTGCTACACTGCCACCTAGAGGCCATAATGGGAACCCCCCCACACCAAGCCATGCTAAATAAAATGCTCAGGAAGATGAGCAAGTCTCACAGCCTGAGTCATGTGATTACTACCCAGTATGCTACCTCCAATAGACAGAATCATCTCTACACGTGCTGTTTAACCACAAACATTCAACAGGTCTCAGGCTGTGGTATGTTTACTCAATAGCCACCTGAAGAGTGTCAAAAAAATATATATATATATGTATATATATATTTCCCCCCCCCCGGGGGGGCAATCTTAGTGACATAAACTTACACATTGCCCAGACTGGCCTCACTCTGGAGCTCAGGCTGGCCTCAGACTCATAGTGGTCCTCCTCCTTCAGCCTCCCTAGTGCTCGGAGTACAGGTATAAGCCACCACATAAGTAGGCTTTTATCAGTGCGTTGAATGAGCACTCTGAAGTCATGAATCACCTTTTGATAGCAAATACTCTTGTGTTTGCAGAGAAAAACAACAACTTGTTTTGAAAAAAATCAAATTAAAAGATTGTGATTCTTGGCTCTTGCTGCTAAGTGGAGCTCAGCCCTGTCTGTGAGGTTTTCTTATACAATATTTGAGGGCAACTTCAGTTGAATAGATAATGATGTACAGAAGAGAAACATGGCCCTTGACAAAAGGGAAGCCAAAAGCCAGGGTATTTGTTAGAGGTAGTTCATGAACTCTGGGGAGATGAGAAAACTCGAAGTCATGAAGTGGTTTGCTTGTAAGCCACCTCCTTCAAGTACTTGAAGGCACATTGCTTTAGTAAGTCCTGAAAGAGGGAAAAAAAGCATACACAGCCTCACCTAAGACTGTATGTTAGATGGGCCCAGACAGAGATATTTGACAGACATTTGATGAGTCAGTAAAGAACAGGAGTGAAAGTCCTGTTGGTGACTCCATTCCTCCTCACAGAAAGGCTGACAGATTCACTGAACACCCTCCTTGTGAAAGAGGCTATTTTGTTGATATTTCTTACCTCACTTTTCACTAATTTTTTTTTTCCTTGCTCAAGAGAAAGGGAGTCACAAGAAGTGTCAAGCCTGAATCAACTAAGTGGAGTGTAAAACTGGCTATTCACATTAGACTAGCTTGCTGGAGTTCATGTCTAACCCATGGGCCCTTCTAGCTTACAGTTTTTTGTAAAGTACTGAAGGAGGGGCTGGAGAGATGGCTCAGTGGTTAAGAGCACTGATTGCTCTTCCAGAAGACCTGGGTGTGGTTGTCAGCACCTACATGGCAGCTAATACCCTGGGAAACAGGAACACACTTATATACATGAAGACAAAACACTGATACACATACAAAATAAAATAAATCAATAGGAAAGTACTGGGAGAAACGTCTTTGTTTCCAAAAACAATGGTCAGCCTTTTGACACACTGAAACTAATCTCCCGTAACTTTCTTTCATTCAAATTTCTGCAAATTACTCAAAAGACAGGTGGTAGGAGAAACCGGTATTTGGTTCTTTGAATCAACCAGGTATATCCAAAGTGACATCCTCTTAATGAATTTGATTTCTCTAGGATGGCTAATACCTTAAGAATAGTAGTTTCCATTTTTTAGGAAATTGTGCTCAAGGTCACTGGGCTCCCAGACAAATATGCTGAACTTGGCTATTGATCTTACACAGACTCAGAAAAAGGCATTAAACAACTACCACCTGGCTTTAGGGGCCGTTTAAAAATGCTCTTTTAAAAATCTAGTGAATTAGTTAGAATAAGATACCAGTGCTGAAAAATGTTGGCCGCTTGATTGCTTGTTTTACTTTCTTTTTTTATTTTTATTTTATGTGTATGAGTGCATTGCCTGCATGTATGTGAGTGCACCTGTGTCGTGCAATACCGTGGAGGTCAGAAGAGGGCGTCAGATTCCCCTGGAACTGGAGTTAAGGACAGTTTGCAGCTGCCGTGTGGTTGCTAGGAATCGAACCCGGGTCCTCTGCAAGAGCAGTCAGTGCTCTTAACTGCTGAGCCATCTCTCCAGTCCCTGCTTGTTTTACTTTCAAATATGAGGGAGTTGGATAACTAGCTTGATTCAGAAAAGGGTTTTATAGCAACCCCATATCCCTTTTGAAACCTCAGGCTGATGCTTTGAGTTTGTTCTTTCTTGATGGAATTTCCAGTGTTCTGCAGATTTTCATCTTTAGCTTAGCACCTCTTCTCAAGATGGTGTCCCCCCCAGAGAGGTGGGCAGAAGGCAGCTCCCCCTGGCCCCTAAGCACTTGATTCCTATCCTTTCCCTTTAAGGAGTAGAAACCATCCAAGCACTCAGGAGGCAGGAGGATAACAAGTTGAAGGCCAGCCTCAACTATATGGCAAGGGCCTATCTTTAAAAAAAAAAAAAAAGTAGAAACTAAGTTATAAGTTCATAATTTAACCTGCTTTTAAGAATTTTTCCAGAAAAAAAAACTCTCATTTTAATAAGCTGTGACATAGCACTTTGTCCAAGTTATCCAGAAAGCCAACTCAGGGGAAAGCTCCAGATTTGTTACCTAACCTTCCCACAAGCTGAGCAACACGTCAGTGCCTGAGTTCCCAACCCATTCAGACACTGCATCTCTGGAATCCTTCTCTTCTGTTCACAGGTCCAAAATAAAAATGGTGGAAACATACAAAGAAAGGGGTGTTGGTATGGATTCTTCAGATCATATCACTTAGTATCTAACTGACTTTGGGAATAGGGCCCACAACTTCCAAACCCTGGGAATGCAACTAACTGTCTTGTTCTAATTTGCTGTGCCACCTAGGTATCACTGTGTACACTGTTGGGGTAGGAAAAGCCATTGAGGAAGAACTACAGGAGATTGCCTCTGAGCCCACTGACAAGCATCTCTTCTATGCAGAAGACTTCAGCACAATGGGAGAGATAAGTGAAAAGCTGAAGCAAGGCATCTGCGAAGGTACTGCAGCAGGTGTTTAGGACAGACCTTAGACAGCATGAACCCTTGAAGACATCTCAGTCCATTTCAATGCTCAGAAAAATGGCTCCCACTGGCCAGGACCTTGGAGACATTAAGCCCAAAAACAAGAGTGAGAGGAGACAGATGTGGTAGCAACCATGGCTTGAACACTCACCCTGTGCCAAGCAGTGTGCTAAATGTGTTGACATGCCAACATCTTTAATACTCACCAAATCCTAGAGAAGTGGTCATTTAAGCAAGGAACCGTCATCATAGATATCAGGAGAGCTGAAGTGCAGTTCCAGGAAATGTTTGTCACTGGAGGAGAGGGGGGCCTATCCTGAGGGCTATCCTTGCAAGCTCCCTGTTGGAAATGTAAATAACTTCCTGCAGGGACCACTGCTTACAGAATACAAGAGTATCCTTTAGAATTCACGCGATTTATATGCTTTTCTCTAGATCACTAAGCCAAGTTATACTTGCACGTAGCAGTTCTGCCCGTTTTCTCTTTTACTCACATCCCAGGTTCAGACATCCTTAAAGTCCTATATAAATGATGCTTTACCCCTCTAAAGGAAAGAACCTGAAGGTGAAGGGGGACCAGGGAGGGGGAGCCTTCCAAACCCCCATGAGTGCATCATGCTTGGCCTATGGCTGTTTCATGGTAGGTGAAATGCCTCAGGTGGAGCTGCAGCCATTCAACTGATGGTTCAGCAACTTCAGCTTTTTGCTTCCCTACCTTCTGGACATGACTGGAGGTTGGGGGGCGTTCTTTAGAAGATGGGTTTAAGGGCTTCAGCTTCTCTTAGGATAGAGAAATGCTCTCAAATGGTCATAGATTATCAGTAATCAATTGCTTTTCTGGATCTTTGGTGTTACCAAATAATACCAAAAGACCCGGTTCTAACAGCATCCTAAAGAGCATGTGCATGCATGAGGGAAACTGTCACTCCTTTTGGCCATCTCTTTCATTCAGCTCTAGAAGACTCTGATGGAAGACAGGACTCCCCAGCAGGGGAACTGCCAAAACAGGTCAACCAACCAAAAGGTACATTTTTTTTGTTTTGGTCTTTTTGAGACAGGGTGTCCCTGTAGCCCAGGCTGGCCTGGAACTCACTATGTAGACCAGGCTGGCCTTGAATTCACAGAGATCCACCTGCCTCTGCCTCCCAAGTGCTGGTACATTTTTAAAAGCAGTGTTTTCAGTCTTTGGTGGGAGCTTCTGCCTTGTTTTCTCTCCAGATAAAAGTTGTAAATAATAGTAAGCTTTCAATTTTGTCAACCAAGACCTATTCCCTCCAACAGACAGAACAGATTTACTCTCTCCTTTAAGTCATATTTGGCAACTAGCATCTCTACTGACGTCTTTTTGTCACAGTATGTCCCAAAGCAAAGCTCTGTACCAAGTGTGAGGAATACATAATGCTTTCCATGGCTAGTGACTACTTTAGACCACAATAGCATTAAGCAGGTTTGACTTCAGTTTTCTTTCTCTTTACAGAATCTGAGCCAGTCACCATAAATATCCGAGACCTACTTTCCTGTTCTAATTTTGCAGTGCAACACAGGTATCTGTTTGAAGAAAACAGTCTTTCACGGTCAGCAGAAAAACTTTTCCACTCAACAAAATCTTCAGGTAATTCCAAGTAAAATATGACTTTTAGATCATTTGATGCCAGTCTTTTAGCTTGCCAACAGACTTTGCTTAAAGGAAGAAGTAGGAAAGAGGGAAGAGGAAAAGAGAAGAGCTTAAGTACAATAATAACTAAAAAATACACTAAACTGGAGTAGTCTTTCCCCCTAGTGTACAATAAAAGCCTCTTCCAGTGCTTGAGGCCTGTACAGCCGTTTCTCAGTATTCTCTTCCCTGGATCTGGCTGCATGGAAAAGGTTGAACATTTCTTTCATTATCGTTCCCTCCATTGCTGATTCAGTCCTGTTACTATGTGTCTGGGAAGTGTGATGAATGACAGAGGTGAACTCTTTCCATCTGCTTTCTCAGGAAGCCCCTTGGAAGAAAACCACGATCAGTGCAAATGTGAAAACCTTATTACATTCCAGAACCTTGCAAATGAAGAAGTAAGAAAATTAACCCAGCGCTATATCCTTTTCTAATAGGATGCTCTGTAATGCAAAGATTAACAAAACTTCACAAATACTCTGTGGGTTTCATCAGTGGAGTCAACAACAGTGACCTCCAACAGAATCTTTTTCTTTAAAAGTAGCCTGGTAGGCATTTGAGAGTCAAGGTCAAGCCAAGTGTGGTGACCACAGTCAAGCACTTAGCTGTCACCTACTTGTTATTCTATAGGGATTAGCATTAAGGCAGTATGTAAAGTAGGTTGGGGAGGAGACTTAACTCCCACTCTGCTAGGACATACATTGGGAATGAGGTGCAAGGGCACAGCATGTCTAGGCAAAGGATGCTGTAGAATGAAGAGGTTTTTCAAACTCAGTCTAAACCCCAAAACCTCAACCCCAAACCACATAGCAGCCACATCTGGAGTCAGTGTGCAGTTTTTGAAGAACTGGGTGTTTCTTTTCCTTTTTGGCAGCCGAGATCTTTTATATCAGCACTCTAAAAGATGAAACATTTTACCAAGGGAACTGCAGGATCCAATGATTCATTAAAAAAATATTTAAATAACAGGGATAATAAACGAGTGTTCGGTGCTTTTATACATTGAATACATTGCCAGCTGCTCTGAACTTGAAATTATAGTAAGCTTACTAAAGCTGGCTGATATGTATCTTAGTGAGCATCAACTAGTCCATAGGGAAATGGTTTAATTCTGAACTACGGCTGTGCCAATGGGCTTATATAATAAGGAGAATAGCACATAGCAGTTCCTTCTGAAAGCTGGAAATATGGTCTCCTAAGTAGAATAAAACAATCTTTCTGACAGGGGCTAATACAGATGATAAATCTGGGCTCTCATTCTGCCAAGGAGGCAAATAGAGGGCATTAAGGGGCTTACAGAGAAGACAAATGCTTAACTCTAAAGCTTTTTCCTCTCCCTTTCCCACCATACCTACGAAGGCCTACTTCACCAGATGCTGAAGAGGCTACATCTAAAAAAGCTGAGGTCAGAATTCCCCACGGCCACTACCCTTCCGCCTCACCTGGCACCATGCTGAACCCATCCCCACCCTACCCTTCTCTTCTGACTTCCTGCTTTACTATGTAAGGCTGATGCTTCCATCACCTTATCTTTGCATGTCCAACATCATCAGTTCTGGCTTCCAGAAAGGTGCTATGGCAAATTAGTTTACAAGCAACAGGGGTGTGGATAGAAATTTTTAAAAAATCTGAAGAAAAAATAAAAGCCAATTCAAACTGAGCCATCTGGTTTTGATGTTTTAAAAATGAACTTAACATGAACATTTTTTAAAATTAAAAAAAAAT